TTTTAATCGATTTCGATTTTTTTTTGTATGGGATTAGGTACATACGACAAAAAAAAAAAAAAAAATTATACTTTAGAGTTATTCGCAAATAAAGTTTCTTTTCCTTCATAACTTTTCCACTGAAATTTGAGAGTTTAAATTATTAAGTATTACTAATTGGTTCGTGCGAATAATTCGTAAAGAATATATATTGCTAGGAATGCCTTTTTAACTGAAGTCTTGATCGACTATGACTCATATGTCTCTTTCAGTCACCATTGGCGCCCAATACCATTGGTTGGGATCAACTGTAGTCCTGTTTTGCCTTCCACTGGTAGAGAGAACAAATCTTGGTCAGGAGTTTCCTCATTATGATATGTGCTTAAGGAGATTTGGTTTATTTTTCTTATTTTTTAAAAATTATTATATTCTTGAAGGACCACTCGAATATCATTGGTTAGGCTTCTTTGGGAGTCTTGATTTTCCTTCTTCCCATTGCAGTTTCATGATTTTTGACTGCATTTCTTTTCTTTCTTCGGACAACTTTGTACTCTTCCTTTTTTTTCTTCCAATATTTGTGAGATTTTTCAGTGTTTTTTGGTATGTGTCTCTATCTAGACAGTCGGCATCTGAAATTTTATGTTTTTTTAATTCTTCTCTTATTTATTCCGTATATCCTCCCATGTTCTTATTTCTCTTTTATATGTTCAAAATTTATTTTACTAATTATAGTATTATTATTCAATAAATTTTGTTTATGAAAAAAAAAAAATGAATGTTGATTGGCTGTATATACCTTAGGTTGGCAACGTGCGGTTTCTAGGCGTATGTGGTCTCCATTACGTAGCTGCGGCGTCCAAACGTTTTTGCGAGATAATTATTAATCTGATATGGTATATTTAATTAATGTTTAAGTAACGATAATCTGAAATAGTGAAATATAAAAAATATTGCAACCTCCATTTGCACTGCCTTACCTTATTGCGGATTCTAATAATGAAAATGTTACCCATAAAAAAAAAATACCCATCTGTGTAGTGTTGCCAAAATGCGAGACCGAGACGAGTCTTGGTCTTGCAAACTCAGTCTTGGTTATGGTCTTGGTCTTGGCAAGAATCTCGCAACTTTCTTGCAGTTACTTATTAGCTTAATACTATAGAGATATTACTGTAATATTTTAGATAGGAGAAATCTAACTAAGCCCGAATGAAAAATTAGAGGAATTGAATGCAAAAGTATATTGGCTATATCAATTACTAACATATATTAACTAAAATTGTCAAGTATTGGTAACTATTTTGCCTTAATTTTTATTTTAAAAAATCGATTTTTTTTTACCAGTCCTGGTCTTGGTCTTGCAACAGTTAGGCAGCCTTGGTCTTGGTCTTGCACTTTGCAAGACCAAGACCGTTTTTGGGTAACACTATATCTGTGTTATATATTATATATTTTATATAGATCTTTATCAGGTTTCTTATTGTTACATAAGTGAAAAAAATATATTATATATGTGGGTCATGTCTTTGCTTCTTTGTATATATCACTACCATATATTGTGAAAACCAACATACCTGGAAGCATTGGGCTCCTACTTAGTACAGTTGTTCAAACAATTTTTTTTTTTTTTTTTTTTTTTTAGAGTTGTATTTGTTCTTCATTATGAGGTTATTTATATTCCACATAGTGTCAAAGAGGAAGGGTTTAAATCTATTAAAGTAATTCAGCCCTTTTCATCCTCCCCCACTCCCTTCCACTTCCTCCCCCCCCCTCTACCAGGCCTCTTGTGTTAGGACTATTTATATGCTAATGATTACATCCAAAGGAACAGTTTCCCTTCACACGTCGTATAATTTATACCAGATTACATTTTTTTATTTATTTTTTTTATATATACTGGAAACCTTTTTTTTGTATCTATATTACAAAATAAAATAAAGTAATCGAATACGGCTCAATCCATTCAGATTATAGTATATGTAGGGGTCCACATCCCCCCCCTCCAAGACCGATGCCGGATAAACCTTCCCCCAATCTTCCCAAGATATTTAATTCCTTCCTTCTTCTTAAAAACAGTACAAACGAACGTAGAATTTTAATATTTGTAGATTATATACCATTACACATTCTGTATTCTGTTCTATGAGTCCACTTTATTGGCTTATTATTTTCAATAATGAACCATTGTGATCGAACAAAAAATTCAAAAGTTTCACCCCCTCTCAAAATTTGAGGATTTACGTTTCAAGGTACGTAGAATTCGAAAAACGAATACATTTTTTTTTGTCCGCTGTCCGCCGTTCGTGTATTTTCTTCGAAACTACTGGACCAATTTTTTTTCAAATTTGGATTTAAAATCAGAGGTCACCAGAGCATGATCCTACTTCATCGACATTTCTGTCCGCCTTTTTCTTTGAAGATGGCGATCGTAAAACCTGTGTTGCGATAGACTGTAGCGCCTAAACGAATGTACCGATTTCAATGAGACTTCGCTGAAGTTTTCTTCTTGATGCACTTTAAATGTATCTATATAACATCAAAGAGAAGAAGCTGGAAAAAAGTTTTAAAAAAAAGTTTTTATATGTTGTACTGCAAAGGTTTTTGTATCCTTTGTTTTGGTTTTTGATTTTTGAATGTGTTAATGAAGTAATTCTAATTTTTTTTAGCATTCCACTAATGATTAAAAAAAAATGTTTATTCCAATAATTGGAATCACCTTTTATTTAATTTTCTTTGTAACTAGGAAGGCCATGTTACTTTAGATGTATACATGTTTGGAAATATTATACCATTGTGAAATAATTTGCACCGTTCATTTCATTTGAAAATGATAATTTGAAAATTTATTACACCGTCGAAATGTGCTTCCCTCATTAATTTTGATGGAGCAACTTGCCCCATAAACGCCCTTTCTGGACACCCCTGGTATATGATAATAATATAATTTTCTTCATAAAGCAATATTGATTATCAGACATGAAATGCTACACACTCAATTGATGAAAGTCCTCAAATAAGGACATTAAAATGGAAGTTGGTGAGGGAAAAATTGAAATAATCGGTCTTTGTATCTTTTTTGGATGCTGAATCTGCTTTTCATGTTACTGAACAAAATTTTCTATTGTGTTTCATCATATATGCAAAAAAACAGCGAAAGTTTCGAACTTTTGTTTAGTTTTTTGGATCTGACTCCGAAACCATGCATTTTATTGAAATAATTATTATGTACAAAGTTGAAAAAGATACAATTTGTTGTCAATATTATACATAGCTTTTCGATTTAAGGCCAACGGGTAAAGAGTTAGAGAATATTGACTGCTTATTTCACAAGAAACATCTGTTTTCATCGGTTTTCCCCCAGAACTTATAATCTATGAATCTCTGGAAGAAATACATTATAATCAATTTGAAAGAGCATTCTATTTTCTATGTTTCTGATGTAGACACGTTAATATATGAGAAGTGCTTTTTATCTTTTCAATGCTTTTAATTAAGCTAATTTAACTATATAGAATAATAATAATGTATAAACAAATTACATAGGTTTTATATAGTATGCGAGATATCAAAATTCGGAATAATCAAAAAGCGCTTCTATACATTAAATTATGTTAGGAACCTTTTGACTTTATAGTTTGGATTTTTCCATTTATATATAATGTTAATATAATTATAGGATTGGATTGATGATTTATTTATCCTCTTTCTTAAGCTATTGCACTATCACAGCTTAACCTTATTCCTAAAGCATGCTATAGATATATGTTGCTACCGCCGTTCAGATACACCCTCTAAATATCTTCGATCGCCATTGGAAGATAAGATGCTCGGTGCAGCCGTGAATAGCCACACTTACCGAAGGGGCTAGTTATGTATGCAGGGGACGAAGAAGCAGTCAGTATCGCCTCTGCTCAAGACCCTCCCTATCTTCTGTAAGGGGTGGCATTAGCATTCACAGCGCTGTGAGGATAACCGAACAGCGCGGGCGATTATAGAACTAACGGCTATTAGTAACTAAGTAAGAGGTTTCGTATCTGCTGTATCGTTTTATTTATGCAAAGTTGTACGGTTAATTCGGTTCCGGTTGTATTCTAATCTTGTAGTGTAGTCAAGTCCTCGACACTACATTTAGGGTTGTTTTAACATTATTTACTTCGAAGGTACTATTGCTAATCTAACAGTAGTAGACATTATAGAACCTATTAATATTAAAATATATTGAAAGTCTAGTGCACCCCAGTGAGAACTTACATTTATAGACTTCAGGGAGAAGGGGGGCGGTCGCAATAAAAATTGAGACGGGGAGGGGGTCTGGTAGAAGTTCGTTTCACGCCCCAATAATTTGTAATATATATCCAAGGCGTATATTTATTGTAATACACCCCAGGTCATAGAAAAACAAAAATATAAGCTATGCAACAGTTAATTGTATTCATTTTTGCTTAAAACATGGTTACTTTTAGATGACGGGATAAAAAATCATATAATTTTTTTTTTACAATTTGAGGTGAATTTTAAGTTTTTACTTAGAAACCTTCAATTAATAAAGGCTAGAAAAAACATAGGACTAAAAATAAATTATAAAAAATGCAATTATATGTCAGTGAACCTGAGGAAGATAAAAAAAAAGGCGAACACCATATAGATAAAGAGATACATTTCTATATCTTGTGCACCTTATATCATATATAGGACAAAATGAAGAAATAATCAGTGAATATACCCAGGGATGGCGCCGCAACTCTTTTCTCAGAATTTATGGATATATATAGTCCTCGGTAGCTCAGAAGACAAGAGAAAACTGGGAGAGCACAGTAACGTCCTGTCATGATATATTGGTTGTGAAACATGGGCAATGACCAGAATACATTGCCACAAATTGCGGACAACCGTCCAGAGTAATGGAGCCGATGTCCTTCTGGGGATAAACTCGAAGGGATAGAAAAACAAACAAATGGATCAGAGCTTAAGACTGACCTCCAGATATTGTGGAAAAAATACTCATCATGAAGTGGACCATGTACCGGACATGTAATCAGGAGGAATGAATAACAAGGAGACCAGACAGTTTATGGATTGGTATCTAAGAGAGCAGTGAGTAATAGAGACGCCCGCCCGACAGACTGGGACAAGGAGATGAAGAAGACCTTCGGGAGCAGCCTGGAAGAGATAGCATTAGAGAGGAAAGAATGGAAAAGGAGGACAGGTTCATATAACTAGTGTGGTTAAAGAAAGTCAAATATAAAAAAAAAAAAAGAAAGAAATCGTCCTCAAAAACCTCAACAGAGTTGATTGTACATATACAGATTATTGTATTATTATTTACCATTGCTTTTTATTCATTTTATGCACAAATAAAGGTTATTATTATTACTTATAAACGTTAAAAATTTGAGAGTAGAAAAATTTAAATTCCTTGGCTCCACAATGTCCTCAATGAATGATCAACTGTTAGAAATAGACCAGTGTATAACTAGCGCTTTCTTCTCCCTTTCAGTGATATTGAAATCCTGAAACATCTCAAATTAATGCTATGATAAAACCAGTTCTAATATATGGCTGTGAGACCTGGACAGTAAGCAGCATCCTAGAAAAAAGTGTTGAAAGATTTGAGAGAAGAATCCTCCTCCCGATACCCGGAGTGGTCTGGTATCAGAGTATGAACACATAGAGAAGAAAGAGCAATAAAGAACTGCTTACAGAAACTGGTCAATCAATATCCTATGATATGAAGGCATGGAGATTAAGATGGCTGGGCATGATAGCAATACACTATACTGGAAGCCTTTACGAAACAATTGATGCCTCTATAGACGGCAAAAGATCACGTGGAAGGCCAAAAAGCATATATATTGATAGAATTAACAAAGATACAACAGAGCTGCGTGGAGATAAATGGAAAGAAAGAGTCCAAGACAGGCAGAGATGGAGCAGGCTTGTTAAGGCGGCAAAAAATTAAATTATTATAACAATGACAACTACCATTTTCTTATGAAGTAAATTTTGCCTAATAGATGTTCTGAATACATTAAAAATCCGAAACTCGTTCCTTTTTCTGAATGTGTTCAACCAGATTCTTTCAGATGTAGAACAATGGCTGCTACCTATTCCAGCTGTAATTAATAACTACATAAGCTGTTATTTACTCCACAATAAAAATAGCATACGAATTCCACAATTTTAAACCCATTCACCTCCTTGGACCTTTATCTACAATTACAAAAACTGATGAAGGAGTAGGCACTGTTGTTGTATGTGGCAATCACACCCAATTAATATCGCTACAACCCTTCTGTCCACTGTACACCGCACAACTTCTAGGAATCAACCGCGCTGTTTGCAATATAACTCCAAATTACCCTCGCTCGGTTATATGTTCAGATTATAAATCTGTCCTACAATATCTACTAGACTTTTTACCACACTCCCTTTAATTACATAAATAAAAATACAGTTAAAAACATTGAAATACGCTGGTTGTAGAGTATTGTTTTTATAGATACCTGGTCACAGTGGAATTCCTAGAAATGAAAATGCAGACACTCAGGCGAACCGAACAATAAAATCACAAGTATCAATAAGTGATTGCAAGGATCTAATATCTTGGATCAGTGAAAAAGGATGGCTGGAGTGGCAAAATCAATGGTTTGGCATGAGAGAAAATAAAATAAGAAATACCGAACAATATGTTAAACATCCGAGAAAAATTCTACAGCTATCACGGAGAGAAGATATACTTCTGAGGATTGGCCATTGTCGACTTAGCCATGGATATCTGATGAAGAAGGAAGAACCGCCAACATGTTCAATAATGCGGGTGTATTCTAACAGTGTATCACATTAGCGGAGTGTATGACTCACGACGACTCCTACAGATTCTCCACTGATCCAGAACAAATGTTGAGACAGAACCCAGAGACGACTTTACGAATTATTAAATTCTTGAAAACTATCGATATTTATAATAAAATTAAAAAAAACTCAAAGTGACTCAGTGTAAATGACCCCAGTGGTCAAAACACTCAAATAAATAAATAAATTTTGCCTAATTTACAGTGAAGCAATTGTGAATTATATAAATTAAATATTTCTTTTGTTTTTTCTTCCTATTCAACAAAAAAACACGATTCATTTAAAAAAGCACAAAACTTCCTACTTTTTTCTGAAATTTGGCCCATTGTTTATCTCAACTTTTTTGAGACTTGTTATCACCTCTTTAAATTTTTGTCTCTACTTAAGGAACAACTTCTATATAAAGATAGATAATAAACATTTTAAGTATTGCAAATTCTAGAATATGAGGCTTCATTGTAAGGTGGTTCTTGAACAGGCAGGGAAAAGGGATGCCGCCGCCGTGGGTGATGTAGAACTGTATCGGATCCATAGAGTGTATGCAAATGGGAACAATCAGTCAGCCTTGTGGGCTGATCCCAGCTGCCTGGTCTCCACCTATTGCGGGGGGGCCTCTTTGTATTCCGCGGGAGGGGGGCCTTCATGAATTGTAGATCTCCTCGCCTCTTGTCGAGCCTGGAGCTGGAGCGGGCGAGTGGAGGGCGATTGTTTCGGCGGTAATTATCAGCTCAGGACGACCTCTCTTCGTGTCAATGGCAGCTGGCAGTGGGTAAGAGGATGTAGGAACTGTATCGCCCCCCTCGGAATGAAGGAGACCAGAGTGTATTACCCCACGGGCGGATCTGTGGGAGGGAGGCTTTGGGGCTGATGATCCTCCCTCCACCAAAAATGATAAAATATATTCATGTTTTATGGAAAAAAATATCTCTTAAAGTATTATTGTTCGTGTAATTATATTTAAGAGAACTTTAGGAATCACTTAAACACCATTCCATATTAGTAGTTATCGTTATTTTTATGAAAAGAAAAGCTTTCACGCTGAAGCCCTCCAAAATTAAATCCTGGATCGGCTAGTGTATTGCTCCCCTCAATATTTCATACACATTTTTTTCTTAAAAATGGCTCATTAAATAATCAACTAAAATGTATAGGTAATTTGGTAAATATAAAGTATGCACTTTAAGAGAATTTAGTTAACTTTAATGTGAATCATAACTTAAGTTCTTATGGCGGATCCTTGCAAATGGGTTTAATTAACAACAAATTTAATCTTTAACCGATTTTGTACCGATAATAGACATTCAGGTTTTGGGATCGACATATTTTTTTTTTATATAATTAAATAAAAAAACAAAATAAGTTCTCTAAAGTTTTAAACAAGGTAATGGATAACTACTGATAAATAAATTGAAAATTAAAATTTATCTACTAAGTTCTATTGAAAACCAACTATAAAAAATCTGGTGCGGTGCGCGCATTACAAAACTTTCACTTACTACCTTCTATGCAGAAATAACTATTTTCAGACAAAGGGGGAGTGAAAGTAAAAATTAAAAAAGCCGTATTAATTTATATTTCATTGTGAATATTTTTATTTGTTTAATTACTCTTATATAAACAAATTTTAATATTTATATCGCTCCAATCCATACAATTAAATATTAAATAATACCAACGAAAAAATTTAGGAAAACCCAATATGTATATGTACATAATATTGTCGGAGTCCGTATTATATTAAGCTCATGTTACTATGGAAGCCTTTCCTAAACTTCGGGAGCGCTCTCGTATCCCTTTGGTTTCTTCATTACAACTATTCTCTGTTACAATCTCTTATTTTCCTTTAGTTAATTATCAAATTCTTTCATATTTTATATTTAACTATTTTTTAAATTAGAGATCAACGTGAAAATATTAGAGATATTTTATAGGAAGGTAATATTGAAAATTTGCCATTTAAGCCCTGTTAGAGAGCATCAATGATAATATATCCTGCATAATATTAAAAACTGCTTATTTTTACACTGACTTAATGAATTTAATCAAAATTTTTGAAGCGTTTTCCAGAAAATAGTAAAAATGTGTTTCATCGATGATATAAAGTGCCACTTCCGGTTAGCCGATTTTGACGAAAAAGTTCTGCTTAAGCGAAAGTAGAATTAGAAAGATTGTGAATTATATACAATTATTCTTGCTACAGTTTTTCTTCGATTGTTTTTTTTGTTTTTTATGTTCTCTTCCCGCTTTTTAGGCTGTACGGAGTTTTCTTGAGCCAGGGGATGAAGGTTACTCGGACATATTTTATCTTCTATAAGCTGTAGTCTGTTCTTTATTTTATCCCTTGTTCTCTAGTTTGAAAGATCCTACACATCGAATACACACAAAAATATGGTTTTATTAAAAAAGTAATGACCGTATCGAAATATGTCTCCATCCCTAAGAAAAATATCGAATCCCTGTCACCTGATTGAAAGAAGACATTGCATCCTCATGCTTTAATATCATGCTGTATTAGCAGACTTTCCATTTCGATTGAGGGACGAGGGAAGAAAAAAAAAATGTCCAGAGTTTCTACTTTGGATATTGATTCCACCTGATCATTGTGAAAATACCGCATGTTTTAAAATAAATTTATATGTATGTTTGTATACTTTTAGATTGTTTTTTTTTTTTTTATGCATATACGTATACTCGAAAATATCTGAACAAAACAATTGAATATATACTTATTTTTTTATTCATTAAACAAAGGGAGAGGGAAATAGAGGCAGCTTCCATAACATAGGTACATTTTTAGAATTTTTTCATCTAAAAAAATGGTAGAAATATAAAAAAAGAATTTGATTTAAAATTTTTACGTACCTCGGCTTTAGTCTAACCGGCTGCCTAACCAGAATTTTTCTATTTTATCAATCGATTTTAGTTTACATATTTTATTCATTATTTTTTATTTTTCTCTAGGGCAAAAGGGTGAGGGCGGGTGATTAATGCCAGAATTAAAAGTCCCCCCGTGGCACCAGGAGAATAATTCCCAATAATTTTATTGTCTTTAACTTTGGTTATCAGGCATACGAGTTATCCAGCTCGGTTACCCCGCTCACAAATATTTTACTTTATTCATGTATTTATTATATTTGATTCATTCATATTTATTTGCCATTCATACTTAACGCCCGGGGAGTCCACGAAGTTTACACTACAATTGACGAATTCCAAAGATGAGTGTACGCACGCACAAATATAAGCTAAACAATCCAAGAAATACTCTTGGGTGACGTGCAGCTATGTTTGAAATTTGTTCGTTGTTCTTGTAACTTATTTAATTTTTTTTTTAATTTGGCGAGATAAACTTAGAATTTTAAAAATGAATCTACGTAGGTCCACGCAAATTATTCTTCAAGAGTAGCAATACATAGAAATCTGTTTTTTTTTTCTCATCTGTTCTTGAAATATTTATGTTTTCTATTCATAAAAATCTATACTTTTTCGTTCTGCGGACAGTATGCACCTCTGATATTGCGGTCAAATATAAAATATATTTATAGAATATAATGTATTATTAATTTAAAATAATGTTAAGTAAGTGGTTCTATAGAGATTTTCCTTTTATACCACAGAGAACCACCCCAGCTCCTCTAGAATGCCACTGATTACTGGAATAAAACCGCTTCCAAGAAATTCCAATACTGGAGCTATATTTGTTTCGCTGGAATGCCTTTCGCCTGGCTAAGGAATTCTTTGCGACATCCCTTCGGTATCCACCCTTTTGATTTTCGAAAATAAATAACAAAAAATAAAATTCTTAATGTTTTTTAAAAGGTCGTGCTTTAATTAAAATGAATTTATGCCTGAAGGTTTATTTAAAGAAGTAAAATAAATTCTTTGGGGGCTTATCATTTTGTACAACCATGACTAAAAAAAATAAAAATTATAGTCCATAGTACAGATTTGTTTTTAAGAAATAATTAATATCAGCATAAAATTTCGTGAATATCATTATCTTGTTGTAACCTATAACTTATACTTTTTTATTTTATACTTTTACACAACTTTTTTGCAAGTTTTACATTTTAGAACATTTTGCTGTTCCCCATAGTTCAAGTCCGTAAGTCCAAGAAGGTTTCAGTATTGTCTTGTAGATAAGTAATGTTTATTGAAAATATTACAATCTTTGTCAAATGACATTTATAATAGTGTTCAGAGATTACATTCACATTCTATGTACAATAATAATCAAATATATACAATAATTAAGTACAAAATAATCTAAAAAACAAATAAATAAAAAGAACACATACATACCTATATATACACTATTTACAATCAGGCGAGAGAACTCCGAGCCAAACAAAAGCATGACTCCAGGAGTTCCCTGCACTTCTCTCTCAACCGCGTTACTGGGACTAAACCCAGTGGAGATTTAGCGAGAATGCTTTAGCCACATACACTCATATCGTGAGTGGAGAATCTGGCTATTGCTAGAACTACAATTTATACAATCTACAAAAGGTCGCGAGGCCACTGCCGTTTCAACGTTAACGGAGAATTATAGGGATGGGTGGTGCTTGATAGGGATTGTGCAAGAGGATTTGGATGATACGTAAGGTTCTGGTGAAATTCGGAGAATTTTTCTGATATAAGGTCTAGGACAAATGGGATATTAAGGTCACGGTGCAGGGACTATTGTTCGAAGGACTTTGGACTGGAAGGATTGGATGCTTTTGATGTTAGAAAGTTATACAGTTTTACATTTACGAAAATTTTCGGAAATCGGTCGTTTTCGACTTGGAGATAGAGAAACTTTGTATACTTAATTAAATAATGAAAACTCATGAATATACATTTGATTTCCAATTAAATCGTAGGATAATTTTATTTTACATTTTCGTAGGTCACCTTTTTTTTTCTCGATTTTGTGATCAAATTATCTTACGACTCAATTGAATGAGAAAACACTTCATTTCTGGAAATTTCCATTGATAAAAAAAAGGTTACGATAAGGTACAAGTCATTCACAAAGTGATTGTTGTTGTTATGTTTATCTAATCTCGATTTGAATTAAAACTTTTAAATTTTGTTTAGGCGTTTGATCGAGTCTGTCACCCGGGATCTCTCGCACTGATTGGGTGGGATTTTGATCAACAATGGCCTTTACATTGCTCGTTTCAATTTTATGTGGACGACCAGACCTTTGAGCATCATTGATGTCAAAATTTCCTGAATGAAATTTGGCATAATAATTTTGACAGGTGTGTTCGGTTAAGGCATCGTCCCCATAAACACTGCAAATTTTTCTGTGAGCTTCGGCAGCACGCTTACCTTTTTTAAAATAATACAACAAAATATACCGATAATGAATGATATTTTCTTCCATATTCAAACACAATACTAAACTAGTTTCAACAAGAGTTAACAGATATAGTTATTGACGTATTACATACAGGATAAACAATCCATCTTTAGGATTAATTCATCAGAGAAGAAGTGTATCATATTGACAGAAAAACCGAAAGGATTTATTTGCCAATTCAATACTATGTGAAATATTTGCATGGGCCAGGCAGTATCATAACATATATTGTTTTCGTAATATTTTTTTGTATTGTTTTACAGCTAACAAAATCAAGAAGGTTACGAACTTGAC